TGTCTATAGGTACATACATAATTTGAATTTTATATATATAGATTTTTCAGGATTACAGGATTATTTCGGGATTTTTGTTATGTTATATTTTTCAGGATTACAGGATTATTTCGGGATTTTTGCAACTATTTTGTTCGCATTACATTGTTTTAGATGCTGATCGGTCGAGAATCGAGCTTGGGTCTACCGAGTGGGTGGCATTACGCACCTTTGACCACTCGCCTACGGTGTCCACCGTTTCTATATTATCGATTATCGCTATTTACTGGGGTTTATGTTTTAAGAAAACTATTTTGGTTAACTTACCATAATCAGTTGGCATGGCGCACAGCGCTTGATGATGATGTGGATGCTGTGGGCAAATGCTTTCGGTTGGATGCGGCGGCAAGTAATACTCCGTTGGATAGAAATCTCCGGTATACTGAATATATAGCTGGCTGGATGCCGACGATGGCGGTGCGGAGGCAACGATCGTATTGCCGCTACTACTGGCAGCACTGCCTGAGCCAGTGCTCAACGGTACTCCAGGAGCATTACCGCTGCTTGAGTTGCCAACTCCTCCTGCGCCGCCGTCGTTAGCACTGCATGCACTGGCGTGAGCGGCGGTATCGATCAAAAGTTGTTGGGAATGTTGAGACGTTTGTGACTGCTGCACTGCTGCACTCAACACAGCTGTTTGTGCCTGCACTGGAACCTGCGGAGCTTGTACGCCCGTTAGAGTGCACTGTTGCGTTGGGTGTGACTGCGTTTGTGGCGATTGTACGTGTGGGCTGTGTGGATGATGCAAGTGCTGCGGTGGAGGATGGCCAATTCCCGCTGCGGCTGCCAGTTGCTGATGCATAGCTGCAACTAGGGCCATCTGTTGTTGATGCTGCTGTGGATGGTGAACAGCGCAAACGGGTTGCACCAGCTGAGTGCTGCCCTGTGGTGGTGTTGCTGCCTGTTGCAGCAGCGGTGGCGAAGCTGGCAGTGACGATGTCGTCGGGCCCTCCGTTGGCGATTGTTGTTGTTGCTGCTGGTGGTGGTGAATACCCAAACCGCTCGAATTTGTCTGCAATGACGTCTGATGCTGAACATTGTGACCATGCAGATGTTGATGCTGATGCTGATGCGGCGATGCCACTGCTGCTCCATGTGCGTACTGCGGTGGCTGCTGCTGGGCTACTTGCAGCTGAGGGGCTTTTTGCTGCTGCGGCTGCTGCGGCTGCTGCGGCTGCTTTGATACAACCATAACTATGTTGGTTGGAGGTCGCTGCTGCTGCTGCTGTTGTTGTCGTTGGCTTTGATTTGAGTTTGGGTTAAGGTGTTGTTGTTGTTGTTGTTGTTGTTGTTGTTGATGATGCAAATGTTGTTGAACTTGATGCTGCAGCTGCAGCTGATGCTTATGTTGATGCTGGTGTGGTTCAAAGGAGGATGCGTTGCTGTTCAAACTGGAGGTCGATGAAGATGGGGAGGAAAAGCTATTGGTGAAGTTGCCACTAGCAGAATTTTGGGCGCCATTGCTATTGTTGTTGTTGTTGTTATTGCCGGCATAGTATGTTTGAAGGAGTTGTGGCGGGTGAAGTTCCTGTGCAGTCGAAGCGTTCAAGCGAACCATGTCAACGGAAATATTAAAGGCCGCGGCGGCGTTGTCACACAAATGCAATGTGACGGTTTATATTGCGGGGTTCGAATGTTTTATTATTATCACTTATAAAACACATTTATTTACAAAAATGTTCCCGTTAATCTGCACATTGAGTTTTGATTTGGTATTTTGGTGGTCTCCACTTTCTCTCGTTTATTTGCTTACTTCATTAGTATTTGTTTAAAAAAAAATATATAGTCAGTTAAACTTCTAGGGCAGTTTTCGTTTGAATGCATTTATATAAAGAACACCTGGAAAATTTCGTTAATAGCAGTCATTTGTAAACTATCTCACCAGCGAGTAAAAAAAATATCAGCTATTTTTATGTAGTATATTAACTTAAGGCCAAACTGCACGGAACAATTGCTTACTCTGAACTGTGGAGTAAGTGGGTGGAGTTCTCAATTATTTGTGAGCCAGATCCGTCAATTTGTAGTATTTTAGTTTGGTTTTCCACCAATCGAGAGGGTTTTAATCGAGATAGGCTCGTTTTTCTTTAATATAGGCCTTGTATTCAGCTTTAATTAGACATTTTTTAATGTCATCGAGCCTCCAGCAAAAGCGGAGGAATATAAAATTATTTCAAGGTTGGCAATAAGACTTTTCACAGAACTTGTTGAGCTTCGCATTCGCAAAACATTCCCATTATTTGATGCGAATGCGAATGCCGTCGATGTTTTTGCAAGACCGTCCATCGACAAATTGAACAACCTCCTATCTAACGGTACTAAAATTTTACAGGAGAACGAAAAACCGGCTTTTCTTTGAAGGCATTGCCTTGATAGCAGGTATTTTCCCTAGCTATTATTTTACAAATTTGTTGTTTTAATAACGATTTTACGATTTTTATGCATAAATCTCGATGCTTGGAGTTCAGGGTTACCAAATGTAATTTTTGCCACAACGCAGTGCCGCCTAAGTGGGCAAAAATCGAAAAATCCGTTATCTGCAATGTGAACTTTTGGTTTGGTATTTTTGTAAACAATTTACCCACTAAAAAGAATTAAATAGACATTTCCCTAAATAATTAATTATATGGCACCAGGAAGCCACTGAAGTTGACAAATTTTATACTAAGATTTTTAATAAGAGCATAGCCATGCGTAAGCTCTTCACAGGGAAAAATGTCAAAAAGATATTCTTTGAAATCAAATGTTGGTTTGACGTTTCTTGTTTCCATATACATAGTAGAGAATTACAGGAATTAAAATTTTGGAATAAAATTAAACACAGGGTATCCCTGCGGTATTCCAGAAAAACAATTTTTTCAACGAAATTTCAAAAAATTAAAAATTTTAATGGAATCAATAAAAAATATATGTAAAAACAGGTTATTTTTTATTATTTTATTAAATAGTACGGGCTTCTAGCTTTCAAAAGAAAAAATAAAAACCTGCTCATTTTTTGCACTTTCTGAAGTAATGCGTTTTTCGCTAGTGCATAAAATAATTTTTTAATTTTTTGACAGTGCCTTGAGATCTGCACGATTCGTTCCATTTTCAAAAATGAAGGGTCAGATTAAAAAGTTTGACCTGTAGACAATAGAAGGCTTATTTATTTTGCCAAGAGTTGCCACCTGTTAAAAAATTAGATGGCTAAAAAATTTGATTCAAATCTTTTTATATGTTAAATGAATTATCAAGAGCTGGGTATCAATCGAAATGTGTACTAACTGCATGTAGAGAGTTGCCACTTGTTTAAAAAATCAAATTCCACTTGAATTACAGTAATTAGGTTATTGAAATAGATAGGTCTCACCATAAGAAAGTCAGATGAAGGAGGTTTAAGCAGGTTTTAGCTTAAAAATATTACGAATAGGGTTACCACCTGTTTGTAAAGTCGAATTTAGTTAAACTAAAATAATAATTACGTCAAACGATAGGATTACGCCATCGTATTTGTTATTTTATTACAAATACATACATTGTCAATCAGTGATTTATTCTGATTACATTCCTTTTAAATTACTGGACTCTTAAATTATCTAAGGAATGTTTTTACTCATCACTTATTTCTTGCTAAATATGTAAAATTTTTTCATTTGTCTGATACTCATATTGATGTACATATGTATTTCAGTTACCTTATTCTCTTAATTAAAGTGAATTTGATTTTTTAAACATGTGGCAACCCTTCTACGTGTCATTTAGAAGTAAATTATTTTCAAAACAAGTTCAATTGATACCCATATTGTAATATCTAACTCATTTAAATTATTTAATAATTTTAATAAAATTTGTAACAGTTGGCAACCCTTTTCAAAAATTAAAAACAAATTATTGCACATCTAAAGCCCAAGCCCTGTCCTTTGACACCTCACCTTTGAAAATAGAATGAACTATATGTACATACCTACATACATATGTAAAAGCCACAAGAACCCAAATTTTCAACTTCAAACTGCATTTACAGTGAAAGTATGAAAGTTATCCAAAAACCAATTGCATTTTTGAATTTAGCGTCCTCAATTTTACTAAGAGGCGAATTTTTATTTAAATCCTTCCATAATTCTATTTTTGCCCACATTTTATATGGAGAGGGAAGCACTGCGCAACGGTGATTTTTTAGGCGCTTTTCAAACTGGTCGATGGGCGGTTTTGCAAAAAACATTGACCATATATTTTTTTGTATACATACATATGTACATACGTATGTAGATAAATATGTATCGCTAATATATTGAAAGACTATCAGCACTAAAAATAAAGAAGGGATTTTTGAGCTAACGGTACAGAATTTTACTCGTTATACCATCTTTCATAATATTGCGTAAAGGATATTTAAAAAAAATATATTTTCAGCTTGTATATTTCGAGAGTTGAAAGCTTGAAACGCGTCTCCTAAAAACCCCCGTATTTTCAGTTGTGACCGTCTTTTAGTAAATGAGCGATACTTACTTTGCATCCATACATATGTACATACATAAGTTAGGTAAAAGGAGGGGGGGCTGACAAGTGACAGTGGTTTTGTTTAACTAGAAGAACTAGATATGTATATGTATGTAGATATATGTATATGACAATTCGTACGCGCACACACGAGAACTGACGGAATGTGTCACGTACATCTGTACATACATGCTCTGCAGGGAAACCGCGGACTAGTGAATCAAATTTCTAGTTCCGTACCAGGTCTTTATCGCCAAAGACGAACTAGTCCGATATGAACTAGATCCCCACCAGTCCAAAATCGGCGAAAAGTGGTACTTTTAAAATACTAATTTTTTCAGTTTTTTTTCACTAGAAATCGATATCTAAAGTGACGAATTTAGAAATGGTTCGGAACTATAGAAAAAGGGATGCAGAACGAACTAGATCTTATTTGTCGAATTTAGAACTAATTCGGAACTATCGAATAAGGGATGCAGCGGGGGGCTTGTTTACTTTACATAGATATGTGTTTGGCGGCTTTTTCGTTCAAATGCGCTTCTATTCTGCGCTTCGCAGATCCTTTTTCATAGCTTGGTAATACAAAACTAAAATTTGTGTTAACATTTCAACATCTTGGGACCGTCTGGAATCTAAGAAATAACATCGAGCACCTCTGCAAACTCAGCTACAGCTAAAGGTATGTAAACGTACATTTCTTACAATCATTCAAACAAATTTAATTTCAAATTGAAAACACATTTCTTCCAAAATAACTTAAAATCGCTCACACGGAAGAACCAAAAAGATTGAAAATGCATGATACTTTTTTCTTTCGTCTGTCGAATTTAGAACTGGTTCGGAACTATAGAAAAAGGGATGCAGCGGGCGGCAATTGGCACTTCCTAGGACATCGCCATGTTAAATTCGCCAGTTGCTTGCATGCAAAAGAGATTTATCGCGAACCAGTACTGGGTCTAAATGTACTAGAAGCGCACCAGTTCAGAAGTAGAGATTTTCCCCACAGGGTGCATACATACATACATACATATGCATATTAAATAAACTTGTGATGGAAGTTTACAGATTGGAAAGTTTGGGAAGGATACAAGTGAAGAGGAAAGAGGTCGCGATGTATCGTTTTCAGTTCAATGAGCATACTAACGGTCAAGGGAATACGAAATAATGTCCATTGTTTTCTGTGGACATTGTGCATTATCCAACTGCAGATTTCAAACCTATGAATTTTTTTTTATTTTTCACTGTCGAATAAAAAATTACAATGCGGCAGTAATATTTGCATACATACATACATATGTATGCATATGCGTGTGTGTGTTAATAATCTCAGCAATCCCTAATTAGGATGGTAGTGGATACTACACACAAAATTCTGGGCTTTGCTACATATCCATCTGTGCCTCGCAGCGTAGATAGAGTTATATGAGTATACTTACTAACATATCGACATGAAGGGGGGCATAAAGGACAAACATTAGGACACAAGAAGCACTGAATTGTGTATAAGCATTTTTCCGATATGTATGTGCAAATCTCACGAGTTGTTAGATTTTTCGACAAAAACATGTTTTTGGTCGAAAATGGTGGTTCACCTATCTTCGCAAATGCATTATCTTCTGTTTTGTATATAGAACAAGATTCAATAGCGATATTGCATTTAAATGAAAACTTAAAAAATATACACTAAAAAAGTAAAAAATAGCCACTCAAGCTCATATGTATACCCGTAGTTGCGTATGTAACGTATACGCCCCGTAGCACCACACGCAGTCATCTAGCAGGTTTACTCGCACGCTTTAACTTAAAAGTCATATTGTTTAAAAGTGATTAAATATTGGCCTTTAAGATGTTTACACAGTATTCCGTATGCACACATATATGTATATGTATTTCCTTCTTTATATATGTATATAACAAATTTAGATTGAATTTCGAGTGCATCAATAAAACTTATAAAAATGAAATTTTATACCATGTCCCCACCAAAAAGCTAACCATCTCAAATCGAACTTAACCACATCACTAACTATTGCACTCCACACTTCGGTTTGAAGTTTATAGAACAGTACAAATGTAGAGAACAGTGTTCGGACCTCCAAAACTCAGGATTCAGGACTAAATCGCTGCAAAAATTTGAGCAAAAACAAATTTGCAGTACTAGATTGATTTTTTTATTTTCGTTTCTGGCATTAATGGTTTCACTTAAATATTTTCGAATCATGCAAAAATAAGAACGCGAGGCAATGTAAGGATAATATGTTATATACATATTTAGGTGATTTTCTAGGCATTTTCTATCAAGTAAAACATATTTAACACTTAATTTTTTAAAGAGCAATAGGATCCAAATCTCTTCTACTTTATATGAATTCCATTCTACATATATTTTTTAACAACTTAAGTAAAGTTCTGCATCCGCCAATTTCTACAGCCATACAGCAAAAAATAACGAGTGAGATTTGGCTAACTTTTTTTTTTTACTGTAACCGGTGGTGAATACTCAAAAAAGGGCCCCCAACATGAATGAAAAAAAACGAAATAGATTTGAAGTCAAGCGGAGTAGAGGAGTAGATTTGAAATTTTTTCAAAAACCGGAGTAAATCTAATCGATCCCACGACAGTCGGGTCTACGTAACCGGAACGACCCAGATTTATATCTGGCCAAGGACTGTCACTCCAGCAACACTCCCCAAAAAGTCTTTGGGGAATTTGTATGCTGCTACAACAACAACAGTAGATTTCAAATTTTTTCAAAAACCGGAGTAGGTAAATCTAATCTGATTTCGTTAAATCCAAACACTAGTAGGGAACGAATTTTTTACATTTTAACGCTAATGACCCACAGATGGCGGAAAATCACAGGGTTGTAGCAAACTTTCGCCGTGGTTTCGGACTGGTTAGCGTTTAACCATCTCAGTGAAATGGTTAAGTGCTGTCATTTTTATATGGCCGAACTACTCTAGATCAAGTGGGTTATCGGGACAACAACTCAACAGCCATAACTACGTGGTTAGCTCCGGTGGGGACATAGTATTAGTTTCTCAAATCAAAGTTATCTTTTACCCAATGTATTTGTTTTTTCATTTTGGAGAGACACTAGTCTAATTACACTAGAAGAACATTTTTATCGTTAATTTTAATATTTTGAAGTAACTTAAATTCTTAACCAAGGCGAATATATATAAATAAGGTGGTATCGATTCAACAATTACTTGTATTTTGTTTTTGATTTTAGCGGGCCATTGTCAAATTTCAGCTATTCTTGCCCGAAGGAAAAAGGGCGACAGAAAATACAAACACTCTCACGTTTTCACTCACTCACTAGCGAAATACAAAATTTTGACAATCAAACGCTACTCACAGCTGATGAAACAACACCACCTTATATAAATTCGCCTTGTTCGTAACATTAAAAAAAAAAACGTAAAATTTCGAAAATTACAAAATAGCAGTCACATGCACGCCGCCATTTTTTTTTTAATTTCGTGGTGCACTCTTGAAATTTCACATATGTATATGTTTTATTTGATGCCAACGTCCGTTTCCTCTATTATGAACATTCTATTTGAAAACCTCCCAAATTTATTAAAAAAAAAAAATAACAATTATAATTTTTGCGAGTAACAATGAAGAATGAGTAATTTCGGTATTTTTCGCGTAAATAAACATTTTAAGGCTAAAATTGTTCACATATTTATTTTATTTGTATCGTTCTTTTTTCTGCAAGAAGAATGCTTTAGCGTTTTTTTTTTTCTACCTCTAGTGAGATTTGCTCATATACATACATACATATGTATACGTATGTAGTTACATACATTAAATGGAAGTTTTGACTATCCAAGAGGCTAAATGTGTGTTTGAAAGACCTATAGAGAGGAAAAAAGTGTTTACCTTCCCTGATAGTCAAACAGCCTTTAGGAGTTTACACACACATATGGACAATTTCAAGTAGATCCCTAAACGAGATGGTCCAGCATTATCGAACTCAGTTGAGGTGAGGTGAGTGACTGGACACCTGCCTATTAAGAAGAAACAGTTTATTAGAAATTACACAATTCATTAGCCAATGAACGCTGGAAAAAGTGTTGGGTGCTGGTTCTCCTAAAGAAAACTCACATCTGCGGCAAGAATGAAAAAATACAAGATTGCGCATTCGCGGTGGCGATGACATTTCTCAAGCAATAAGTAAACATAGCCGAATAGAAGATAAAATAAACTGTCGAAACAGTAAAATTTGCTGCTAAGATCCGTCCGTCATACAAATTATTTTATATCTTTTGAATATACTCTGAGGAAAGTAGAACTGACTATTTTTGATTTTTGTTTTTTTTTTTTCTACTACAAAAGCTTTCATATAAATAATCTTGCCCAACTCGCAGAGTTTTGCAATTTCGTAATAGAAGTCGAAATTCACTTCTGTTTTTTGGTAACGTCGCGCCAGCTCGATAAGTTTACTAATATCTTTAAATCGCTACTACCAACAGTTGTATTATTTTTACTAAATAAAGGGCCATTTAATTGCTAAGCAAATCTAGAAAAAGCTATTTAAAAGTTTGACTTGTTCAATTATTATTTTTATTTTTTTAACATTTTGTCATGCGAGTAACGCCAGTTTGGAAATACGCATATAGGTATGTATGTAACTAAATGAAAATTGCTTCCTTAATTTCCATCAATTCAGTTATATGGCGCTTTTTTACTATTTGGCCGAGCTTCTCCTCCGATTTGTGGCGTGCGCCTTGATATTGTCACACAAAGGGGAGGGACCTACAGTTTTACGCCGACTGCCAACAGTGATTGTATTTTTATGAGAAGCTGTTTTTTCATGACACTCGAAGGTTTGCCGAAGGTTTCTGCCGAGGGGCGGCCGCTAACTATTAGAAAAAACTGGTATATGTTTTATGTTTTTCATTTTGGTCGGAAACTGGGCTCGAACCGCGGGCCTTGCGGAATGGTAGCGCGCACTGCTAAACACTACGCCATAGCGGCCAATTACAACTAATCACTCGAAACATAGACAAAGTTACTTTCTATGTACATACACATGAATGTACATACATATAAGAAAAAAAGAGGTCATTTACCCCTTGCCTTCACCTACGAACACTCTTACACGAACAATGCTACTGAATGGCATTTTTATTATTTCTTTATTCATTCTCTTTTGCCCAGAAATTTACATATGTACATATGTACATACAAATGTAAACATTAGTCAGCTCTTCAGTGACTCCCCGTATTATTGGAATTAAAGAAATTTACAAGGTCTTCCTCATCCGCATTCTAAATAATACAAAAACTTGTTCTTCTAATATCTCTCGCGGATACTTAACTCTCAAGCTTTCTATTTAGTTGACTAGTTTTCGCTTGTGTCACCGACCCATTTTCTTTCCTTCAGTTTTACAAATATGCAGATATGTATGTGTGTGTGTGTGTGTGTGTGTGTGTGTGTGTGTATTGACATACATAAATATTGCACACGTTCTTCAATTGAGTATAAGGTCGGTGTTATGCAGACAAACTTTTGTTTGCCAAATTAAATGGCGGCTACTTAGTTTGCTCGGAGGTGGTTATGTCGAGTTTGGCACAGGGTTGCACGTTTATTATGGTTTTCATGGCTATTGCCAACACGAAATGAGAATTTCAGATGTACATAACGCGCACAATTTAAAATTTTTGTATATGACAACACCGAATTTGCTGCAGTTTGACCAAACAAAATTAGTTTGCTGTGAGAGTCGCCAAACTCGCTCTCTCCGAGTTTGCTGCAACAACAATTGCACGCAGTTTGCCAAACAAACTTTCTGCATAACACCAACCTTAGTTCAATCTTTTTCTTTTTTGATACCAATATTTTGAGGGTAAATATTTTGTAATAAATATTTTGTTGTGCTCCAAAAGTCGCATTAAAGTCGCTCTTCTGTATAAGGTTAAGACGTGCTTAGGAACCGTTTCTTTGCGTTTTCGCCAACGAGAAATTATGACTTATATCATTTTTCCTACAAAACCTTTGCAATATGTATGTATGTATGTATGTAAGTATGTCTGCTAACATTCCATTTGAATGCTGTTTTCAAACGTGTTTTTGTTTTTGTTTTGCTTTGTAGGGTTCTTCCAAACTAATCAAATCGCCTTAAAGTATTTAATTTATGTTTTTTGTTTTTTTTGCATGAGTATTTTTCTAACTGCCCGACACAGTTCCCGGACCGGAAATCACAATTGAAATCATGAATTCTGTAATCTGCTCCCGCTGTCGATGCTGCTCACTTTGCTGCCAATCAGTCAGCCAGCCACTCCAGCCGCACGTTAAGCGGGTCACAGTTATCGCTCACTGTATGCCTAGAAGAATATGTACACACATACATATATACATATACAACTACTACTACATATGTATGCCTGTGTATTGATGAGTGTGTGTATGCGATATTGCACCGCGCCCTGTCGCCAATTTGTCCCCTTTTAGAAAGCGGTTTGAGTCAATTCCCTACACCACAGCTAAGGAAATAAAGAAAGCGAATATGTACTTTAGAGTGTGTGTATTAACTCGATTCCCGGGTGTCGTCTCTCTTCTTCTTTACATCGATTATGCCTTGGTGCTTCTTGCATTCTTTACATTTTCTAAATTTTTTCATTTCACTCAAGTTATGTATGTATACATATGTATGTACGGATGTATGTTGTACATATGTATGGCTACACATACACAAATGTACATACATATGTATATAACATATACATACACACTTCTTAAATGCTCTTCTGCATTTTATCCAGTGGGTATCTTTTGAGATAATTTTTTAGTCGA